TGTTCGGCCGGAGGGAACGGCCAAGACACGTAACTCGCCGCCTTCGCTACCAGTGGAGTCACGTTGTGGTAGATGACATATCTTTGAAAAATATTGACGCTGGTCATACTTCCTGTCTTGTGTGTTTTGATGAAGACGAATTGCTGCCTTGGCTTGCTGCAAGTACGTTGGTCCCAACTGGTAAATGCTGGTCCGTTAAATGAAGGTAGTGGTTGTCCTCCTTCAAAGAATCCTTGTATTGGTGATCCCAATGTTGTGAAGAGACCTAGTTTGTGAAGTCCGTCGCTCTGTTGTGAGAGTCAAAAATGCCATGTTACAAAAACAGAAGAAGGTTAGAGTCCGGGCCTTAGCAACAACTAACAACTACCATGTGTGTCTTGGTCACCCCTCTCTTTTTCCTAACGTCCCGTTATGTTATTTGTACAAATCCACGGTTAGGAAGAAGAACATATTACTAATCATTTACTACTAGTAAATTACATTTAACTTACCAACTCCAAGGTGTAATAAACTGTCATTCCAGTGAATTCGAAGAGAAAAAGTATCACAAATCCTTTCCACTTGGTATTCATTCTGGATCTTTATCTACGTAAATAAGGAGAATTCGAATTAGCACAGAGCCACAAGATCTCAATATTGATAATAAATGAATGACGACATCCATTCGTTGCTACCCTGGGCTAAGTTAAGATCACAAAAACATGATAAACAGATACAGTTAACAGATACAAAATAAAACTATCATTGGATAATTTCAACTTCTCCTCACTTTTCAGTTGATAGAAAAAAAAATGTTTTCCGATGGAAGATTTGTCTAGTTGCATTAGGAACATGAGTTTTCCTACAGTGCTTAAATGTATGAAACAGGGAAATATGTTCCAGCTACCTATACCTATATATAGTTATCAGAAGAGGCCAGAAGCCGACTAAAGCACAGAGACATAGTAGGAGTTGTAGCCAGGGGAGGCTAGGTCTAGGGGCAGGAACAACAGCAAGTCAGAGATGGGGTACAGCAAGGCCCAAAGAAAGAAGGAAGATGATGCAGGGCGAAGTAAGACGACAGGAGGAGGAGAATAGGAGAGCGCAGGCTGTCAGTCAGGTAGTCCAAGGGGCATGGACGAAATGGGAACAGGCCCGAGAGAGAAAGGTAACCTGGAAGGATCTCTGGTTGTGGGAGCCAGTGAGGACACAGTTTCTACTGAAATCAATGTATGACCTCCTCCCCACACGTAAATCTCAAGAGATGGGGAAAGGAAGCTGAGGAAAAGTGCAAGCTCTGTGGTAAACGAGGAACTTTGAGCCATGTACTAACAGGTTGTTCCGTCGCTCTAGGACAAGGGAGATTCCGGTGGAGGCACGACAGAATACTCCGAGCGCTGGCAATAGTACTGGAAGGAGAAAAAAAACAAGGAAAAGGGTGAAGAAGAAGGGAGGGCCGAGATTCGTGGCGTGTGTGAAGGAGGGAAAGGCAGAGAAGGGAAGAAAAGGGAAGAGAGACGGTGAAGATGAAAGAGGAATCCTGCCCACAGCAAACGACTGGGTGATGCGGGTCGATTTAGAGAGGAAGCTGAAGTTCCCCGAGGTCGTCTTGGACACAAACCTGAGACCAGATATAGTACCGTGGTCAGAGGAGACGAAACAAGTGGTGATGAAAGAACTCACCGTGCCGTGGGAGGATAGGTTGGAAGAAGCACACGAGAGGAAAGCTGAGAAGTATAGGGATCTCCGGCAGAGCTGTGCAGAGAAAGGGTGGAAAGCATGGTGCTACCCAGTAGAAGTAGGGTGCAGGGGATTCGTCAGTCAGACAGTATGGAGAGCTCTAGGAGCCCTAGGGATGAGAGGAAAGAACAGGAAAGATNGCCCTAGGGATGAGAGGAAAGAACAGGAAAGATGCTGTGAAGAACCTGGGAGAAGCAGCAGAAGCAGCATCGCGCTGGGTATGGCTCAGGTGTAAAGACAACAACTGGTATAACCACAACGAGTGACGACTGGGTATGGTCACCGTCACTGCCCCGCCTCCCTGAGGGGGTCTCGACGAGAAGGGGGCGAAACCACCAAGGAAGGGAGGAAGTCGACTGAAGACGTTGTGGTGGCAGTAGCAGCCAAGCTGTACCAAGTAAGATCATATATTAGTATAATGGCCAAGAAAAAGGAAAGCCACACATTAAGCACGTTGAAAAAGGGAAAACACTAGAGTAGCTGTCGTGTGAATATGGATCAAACCTCACAGCCTGTATTTACTGTGCAAGGCTAACGTGTTACGCCTCCGAGAAGGTGAAGCTAAATGAATGAATGAATGAATTAATGACTTTATTACAAATATAAAACTACAAAAAAACATTAAACAAGCACAATTTATACACATTTCTAAAATACGTATCTCTGAACTGACAGTCAGACCTCAATAGACAGCATATTATTACAAGAACAAAGAGACAAAGTACACACAAGCCTCCTGGCAGCTATGATGGCTGAATTGCGAGGCTTATTCTAACAACATGTTGCGAACGAACTTTGTACATTCATAAAATCTAAAAATATAGTTGAATTTAAAAGCGAATATTTAAAATCGGCATACAATAAAGTTGTGTGGTAAGTGAATAAAACACAGTGTGGAATTACTGCTACTAAAACGTATGAGTAGTAAAAGTTCATGATCTAGAGTTCAATTTAGTCGTTTGGCCAGGGCAGGAATTCCACTCGTCGTGTAGCGTTTAGTCCCGGAGGGCTGCTGGTACCTACTGGCGTTACGTAGATTTCTACCATGCTGTTCACCACGGGTAGGGGGAAGCCAAGAGCGGAAACGTGAAGACTTTTCCACGCTCGAAGCAAAGTTAGAGCATAAGTGTTCTCTTCTATCCGCCAGACGTTGCAAGTCGAGTAGCGCTAGGGTTTCGGTGTACGAGTTGTACCTGCGTCCCAGAATGATTCGGCAGGCGCTTTTCTGAACGCGCTCTAGGGCATCGGACTGTTTCTGTGTCAGCGCAGTACTCCAACAAGGGGCGGCGTACTCAAGTGTCGGCCGGATGTATCCGCAGAAGATGGAAACCAGATCAGTAGTTGGGACCCCAGAACGGCGTAGTGTGCTGATAAAGAAGAGTCGCTTGCTGGCTTTAGTAACCATCTCGTTCACTTGGTCGTCCCAGCGTAGGTCAGATCTTACATGTAGCCCTAACAACCTGGCCTGCTTGACAATCGTGAGTGGTTCACCACCAAGGGTAAGTACTGGAAACTGTGGGGCTTGACGCATAAAACAGACATGCATCGCTTTACATTTCTTTGGGTTGAGCGACATGCGGTTGTTTGCTGACCAGTTTTCAAGGTTGTCAAGGTCCGTCTGAAGGGTCGACGCTGACACTGTTGGTCTCATCTCTCCAAGGTTGACGTCATCAACATACTTCCAGTGAGTATTTGTGGTTGCGGGTTTGAAATCGTTGATCATTGCCAGAAACACAATCGGCCCTAACAGTGTTCCCTGTGCTACTCCACATGTAAGGGGCTCCCAGTCCGACAGTGCTCCTTGGTAACGGACACGCTGTCTGCGTCCTGACAGGAAACTGCACAACCAAGGGATGAGAGATGGTCTAGTTCCCATGTTGATAAGTTTAGTGATGGCAGTATTGTGACACACGCGATCAAACGCCTTGGAAAATCTGTAAGTATCAAGGTGCCCACTGATGATTTCATTTCAGATCCCACAAAGAAGAAGTTTAACAAGTCGATGAAACAATGTGTTGTCGAACATCATTTAGAGTTGCCAAACTGTTTCGGGTCTATTTGAGACGAGATGTCAGACAATTATACTATTGTTGTATTATACTATTGTTGTTGTATTATACTATTGTTGGTGGCGTAAAGTCTATTAATGAAGGAATAACACAATTTCCTGCGTCTAGCATCGAATGTATCGGTCGAGAGGTGATCAAACATTGAACTAGCACTACAACCTCTTGGCAACTTTAGGAGAATACGAAAGCAATTATTGTATGCAACACGACACTTCGCTAGTACACTCGCATGAACAGAGTTCCATAACTGGACTCCAAACAACTGAGAACAGTAGGTCATGAACAAAGTCTTTTTACAACGGGAGAACAATCATAGAATGAACCGTTGACAAAGTAGAACCCCACCTTACACACATGGTCTGATTCTCCTACCAATAGACCAGAAATCTCACAAGGTAAAACGGTACATTTCTTTCAAGAAGCTTATTAAACAAGAGCCAATGATTCACACAATCAAAGGCCTTGGAGGCGTCCATAAAACACACGAATACGGGGGATCCCAGTTTCTTGTAATTTTCAATAATTTCCTTCAGAGTAAAACACAAATATCATTACCATGCTTGGGTTTAAATCCAAACTGGTAGTCAGACAGAAGTCTGAAGGAAGGGTTTAAGGCGACTACGTAACAGCGGCGTCAAGACCTTGGAAAGTGCTTCCCATTGGGCAATTCTTTAAAGATGTTGACAAGTTACAACACAGTAATTTGCATATCATTATCAAAATCACATGCACGAGACATAGCAGACATCACAGGCGGCTTGTGAGCCCGGTTATCAACTGAATTTAAGAGACACTCAAAATGTTTTTTCCAGTGATCAGCAATATTCACAGAACCTGAGCATCCATCGACTGTATTTGGTACAGTACAAGGAGAGTTAGCACTACGTACTAGTACTTTTTTTCCAAAATTCTCTACGGTTACCCATTGAGAAACTTTTAACATCCGCTCTAGCTCTGCTCTCTTGTTGTTTACACTGTCTTAGAGCGAGCTTAATCTTGCCCTGGCTTGGACTTCTCACCTTCTCACCCGATTGCCTGTAGACCATACTGGTCTGTCAGTTGAGAGTCCCAATCAGACTTCTCCAAGCTGTGCGGTTTCCGCACAGCTTTTCGGCTTCTTCAAAGGAAATGTTTGTTCTTTTGGCCAGGATTTTCTTCAGACCATCAGTCCATCTCATCCTGGGTCTGCCAAGGGGTCTTTTTCCGGGAGGTTTCCACTCCAGAATACGTTTTACGCTCCTCGTGGCTGCCATTCTTTTCACATGACCAAACCACCTTAATTGGCTTTTTTCCACATAGTTGATGATTGGCTCAACCTTTAGGGAAGCTTTGATGGTGGTGTTTCTTATGTGGTCTCTTTTTGTGACTCCATATATCAACCGTAATACCCTCATTTCCGCTGCCTGGAGAATGCTTCTCCGCCTTTCAGTTATCCATGTTTCACAGCCGTATGTCAAAATTGGCTTTAATATGCTAGTGTAAATGTGGACTTTCACTTCTGTTGGGATATTACGATCTCTCAACAGAGGGTATAGAGCACCAGTGTTTTTGGAAAATTTGTCTATTCTGTTGTTGATTTCTGTGTCAATGGTGGCAGCGTTATTAACAGTGCTTCCAAGATATGTGAACGTATCAACAGGTTTGATGGCGTGACCATTAACGTCCAGGTCACGAGTTACCAGGTCCTTGCCAACAGCCATGTACTCTGTCTTGTCATAGCTAAGTTTAAGTCCTTTCTCATTTAGACCATCATCCCATTTTGTCATAACATCCTCCAAGATCTCAAGGGATTGTGCAGTTTGTGCAATATCATCAACTTGGACATAAGGATAAAAAAGGGACCCGACCGTGGTGAGCCCATTTCTCTTCAGAGGACAGAAGCCTCCCGGGCAGCAGAATGTAGGGCCGTGTACTGTTTAGTTAAGTCACCCAAGGCGCTTTACATGTGGTTTACCCCGAAGCCGGTTTTTAAGTGGCTCCATCTGAACGCTCCGAAATCACATTGATAGCGCCTCGATCCCAAGCTACTTCTAGAGGTGGTTTCGAATCGGTTTTCCCGCATCGCGATTTGCGTCTGAACGCAATGTGATTTCAATGTGACTTCGCCCGGTCATGGATTACGGGGTGATATTTCTTTATTTATATGCAATACCAACTTTTACGTGGCAGCAACTTAAAGAGCAGTAAAGGTAAAATAATGTGTCCGTTCTAGGGAGAGCTGATGATCAGCTGATGAGTAAACGAATCAAGAGCATTTCTGTGCAGGGGATCAACACAATTCGGGTCCCTGCAAATAAGGGCACTTACAGGCAGATCAAGCTTAGAAAGTTGATCATTCAAGGTAAGACAATAATTATCTAATTGTTCCTAACTCGCCTTAGTCCAGTCAGTAATCCTATGAGGAATGTCAGAATTACGACAATCACGGGAGACCATCTGGCAACGGTTAACGGTAATTCAGGACGTTCGACGTCGGCAACGCTTAACGGTAAATTCAGGATGGTCGGCAACGGTTAACGGTAAATTCAGGACGGTCGGCAACGGTTAACGGTAAATTCAGGATGGTCGGCAACGGTTAACGGTAAATTGACAGCCATTTTTATTCGAGCTTCACTAGATTTGTTATCTGAATTTGTGAAAAAAAGTGATCACTGACAAAATGAAGCATATGCACGCATTAAAGGTACTTCACACTTCACACTAGTGTTCCCAGCGGTCGCAAACAGCAACAAGAGAGACAGCATTTTGAGCTTGTGACGCCTTATTATATTTCTGAAACGAATCATATCTAATTCGAGATGATAAATTACTAATCGTCATGCACTCTATGATATTACTATTGTCGCCGACGTTACCTATTAGTAAAAAACGTGACATTAAAGGCATCAAATTCTATTTCAGGGCGGCAAATCAAAACAAAAAAAAACTCAGAATGAGGACAGCTGTCTGATATGGACATTTACTGTCATTTCTGAACACATTTTCGTCGTCATTTCAAATTCTAAGCATTTGAAATAGCCCCCAAACAAGCTACGTGAGTCACCTCTTATTTACGGGTAACGCCCATGAATACAATGTAGCTGTAACCATGCAACAGCGGCAGCCTACGGTACAAAACAAGCACATCGTATTTTACCCCAGAGATATCAATGTAATTTGGGATAGGATTCAACTTACTACATGGAAGGAATTACTAGAAAATTGACTTTAAAATCCAGTTTTGCCACTCAGAAATACCTTTAAAAGTTGTGGTCCACTGTTCATTGTGCCTGTCGAAAGGAGCTAGGGGATCATTCCCTGTGCAGTGAATCTGTAAATATGTGTACATGGCGTCTATATTCCCTGTCAAGACGAGTGTAAGAGTAGCTTTTCAGTGAGCTAAAACTGAATCGCGATCACTTTCACTTTTCAAACGTTTGAAAGTACCGTTCGAATTGTCTACCTGGACCTTCATCAAAGTTCACTGAACCACATGCATGAACACGTACACGTACAGTTTATGTTATATAGACTACAATTACGTTTAGGTTAAGTTCGTAGAATCTTACTAGTATTTCTCTTACCGTAGTGGACAGTCGCATAGACGTGTCTCACACCGTTCCGTCTAGCCTTTGTCATTCCAAGGCCATATTTACCTGTGACGTTACAACTGCCAACATATCCCATCAGCCTTTGTGCGAAAGTGCCTTTTGTGCTGAGCACTACAGCTGAATAAGCAAATGTTTGAAGAACGTAACTTAAGATGAGATTGCAAAGTCTGGCTAGAGTCGAAGGGTGTCAATGTAGGGGGTCCGGGGCATTCTCCCTAGGGAAATTTTGTATTTTTAAACCCTCAATTGCGCATTATTTGCCTTTTCAGAGGCAAAATTAGACACGTGCACAACATTTGGTACATAGTAAATGCTAGAGACCTTTCGTAGGAAATGCCACGAGAACAAGGTCAATAGGGTTCAGCCCTCCACAGAGCTCTCCATATGTGATAGAATATCTCGTCCAAGTTCGTCCAAGGGGCGCTATACCAATCGTCATCTTCGACGTCATTGCTCGCGATTCTCTCGTGCCCATCGCAGCATGGAATGCTTTGTTACCTTCGCCAAGAAGGTTATGTTCTCAGAGCTAGAGGCGTTTGCGCGTGTGTGTGTGTGTGTTTGTGTGTGTGTGTATGTGTGTGTGTGTGTGTGTGTGTGTGTGTGTGTGTGTGTGTGTGTGTGTGTGTGTGTGTGTGTGTGTGTGTCATTAGACCTCAGAATGATTAGATTTTGGACCCCCTTGCGGCTTGTTATGGTACTGCAGCTAAACTTCCGGTTTTGATATCTCATGGTCTAGACATGCTAGGGTGACGAAATTCGAATGGTATGTATCACATAATGGTATGTGCTGGGAAAGAAGTGACATGAGTTTTTGCCCCCTAGCGGCTTGCTTTGGAACTGCCGGGCTATCTGTTTGAAAATATTTAAAAGAGGATGACTCAAGAACTCAATTTGCATAAGAGAAATTCTAGGAGAAATTCTATCAATTACATTCCATGATAGGACTATTGAAGCTTGTGACATTGGTTTTTGAGAACAGGAGAAATACAGGCAGATATTATGTTAATTAAGACAATTTGCATAATTAATGAGAAAAATTTATAATTCTGTAATGATAGCTGCCTTGAATTTCATACTTGTGGTATTTGAAAGTTCGGTGGTGAACATCATGAAACATAATGCATTTAAATGCGGACCTCATTTGGTGGAGAATATGATAAACTGATATAATTCATGAAAATGAGGATCTTATTTGCACAATCAGGGGTAATAATCTATAATTTGTCAGTCATAAAGATTAACATCATATGGTGAAGGTATGAGATCTACTTTGCAATGATGTTCTGGTTCTGGGAACAGGTGGGGCTGTTCTATGGTAATCATGGGGTACGTGTCTAGCTTGAGTGCTGAAAACACAAGCGGACGCTCGGAGGGCTACCTGACGTTTGCCTACGAAGCTATTAAGCCTTCAAGGTTTATGGGTAATGAAGAATTATTCATTAACGCTTAACGCTAAATTTAGGATGACGAAGATTCTACGTTCAAATAAAATGGCCAGTGACGCTTCACGATGGATATATTACTAATAATAAAACGTTGAATTAGAGCGGGCCAAAGATTAACGGTGAATCCAAATAGCCCACGCTTAACGGAAAAAGGCATGCAGACCCTCTTTCATGAAAAATGACTTGCTTCATTTTGGGACAGACGGAACATCCATTACAACCGAACCTAAGTGCCATGCGGAAACACAGACACACACACATGAACAGACTGACCGTTTGGTGACGTTATGCGAGGTAGCTGAGAACTGCACTCAACATCCACAGGTCACAACATGACACAAACAGGGATCTATATGCTGACCTACCGAGACTTTCTGACAAAATCATAACGAGAAGGCTTAGGTTTTGCACGTCACTGTCATTGTGGCCGAGCTAGTACACTGGACTCCCAAGCATGGGAGGAGGAAGACCGGCAGACCGGCTACAACCTTCATAGACTGCCTCAAGAAAGACACTGGCCTGGAGGTGGACTGCTTGAGCCAAGCGGTAGAAGATAGAGATTGTTGGGCTGCCATTTTGACTCGAGTTCACGTTAACCAGGACTCGACATAAGTCAAGAAAGTACGTAAGTCAAACAAATACATAAGAAGGTGAACATTCACTCGAATAACGAGGGCATACATAACCACATAACCAACGCAAGTTAGACATATTAATGGTTTCCTACCGTTTAGTTGACGACTGAATGAGAAGAACGTGCGTGTCACCTGGACATGTACTTTTTCTGCAGCTGATTAAACTATAATACCCTGTCTAACAAGTCCTGAGGCATGTAGAGGTAGTGAACCAAAAGGGCATCGGTTCAGACGACAATATGACCTCAAAGTCATCTTGGCGCTTCAAGTAAGAAGGGTACCGTTTGTGCAAGGTAAAGTCGTTTGGTATCATTTTTTGTACACGCTATTCCTTCTATTGCTTTCATTTGAAAATATTGAATAAGACGACTACCTAATATCAGGACCTCCCCGCCATCTACATTGGTAGCTTCTGTGGACCCTGTTCAACAACTTCTGATGACTAAGATCACGCACAATGGACTTCATCAATTATCCGAACAAAAGGAGCGAAGTCGACCGCCATACTACGTACTCCGTCATGCATGACGTCCGGATCAAAGTGTTAAAATTGACAAAGGCTGGACAGTACCTGTAGCTGTATCTTGCATGACAAGGCACTGTCAATGACTGACCACAAACAATTGGCCACCGTAAATCTGCCACAACTTCAAACCACTAAATACCACAAAGAGAATGTAGATCTTAACAATCTGATACAATCTATGCTCCCCTTCTTTATACATCTAAGCTGTACAGATAAATCTATATTCCTAATGAGCTTAGACTAACCTTCTGTGTTGAAACATATCTGTTTTTACCTTTTTTGTCTTTACTAAAAACGAGAAGAAACCGAATTTACTTGATTGTAGCTACTTGACGATGTACATATGTAACGTTATCTATACTCCATTTTTGTTTTGACCTGTACTTAACCCAGGGGGTATGTGTGTACAATAAAGGCCATTCATTCATTCATTCATTCATTCATTCATTCATTCATTCATTCATTCATTCATTCATTCATTCATTCATTCATTCATTCATTCATTCATTCATTCATTCATTCATTCATTCATTCATTCATTCATTCATTCATTCATTCATTATATTCCGCAATGTCTGCTGCAGTACCAAGCACATCCGTCAGGAGGCCTTGGACAACGACCATCGTCTTCTCAAGACCCCATTACAATCCATACAGGATATCATTACAATCCATACAGGATATCATTACAATCCATACAGGATATCATTACAATCCATACAGGATATCATTACAATCCATACAGGATATCATTACAATCCATACAGGATATCATTACAATCCGTACAGGATATCATTACAATCCATACAGGATATCATTACAATCCATACAGGATATCATTACAATCCATACAGGATATCATTACAATCCATACAGGATATCATTACAATCCATACAGGATCCACGCAGGCGGACAGACACAAAAAACAATTAGAAAGACCAAAAAACACCTACATGTTTTACCTCCATTTTTCATGAAGGTAAAAATTGTAATTAAAGAACTGTTGTTTTTGGGAATACTGCATTCATATGTACATTTGTGCACCTAAAATTGGAGCTGTGCACCTAAATTTTGACTATTAGTGCATCTGTGCCCTAAAGTATTCGTATAAGATAACGTACGTAAAGAAACTATTGTACACTAGTATACAGCAATTCCCTGATATTTACCTTCACCTAGTCCCATCTGCACAAAGAACACATTAAAACCTTACTTTTGTCCATTGGTTAAAACTAGTTAGCAATAGAATTTTAGATTCAAGATTTATAAATATGCTTTGTTTAAATTTTACTTTACTTCATATGTTATGCACCCCCATTTTTGCACCATCTTTATGTAACATATAAGTGCACCTAGTCCAAAATTATGAAAATTGCACGTACCCTTGTAGCCATCTCCTTGCAATATCTGGCATCAACGACAAACTGTGGACTCCACTGGGAAGTTTTCACAGTGAGTGTGAGCTTAGGTTTCCTGCGTTGCTCTCCATGACAGAACCAGCTGATGTTCTGCTTCAGTTCCCGGTAGTGGTGGAGCTCACGGTAGAAATCTGGTCCCTGGGTGGTCGAGAAATGATTCACGAGAAAGACAATAAGGCATAATTACTTCCGGGTATGGGAGTATCGTTTTGGGTGGCTGACTTATGAGTTGGACTGTGTCATTGATCAATCAATCGATTGATTGATTAATCGATAGATTGATTGATTGATTGATTGATCGAGAACTCGGGAAGTGATGTAATACACAATTAGATTACATCATACAGTCCAATAATAACAAAACCCCAAAACACTTTAAGGAAGTATGACATTTCTGATTTATTATTCCGACTTTCGATTTCTTATTTCTGGAAGTAAAAGCAACTGTTTCGTTTTAATTATGGAAACATATTGTGTTCCCTCGTGTTTCTTCTTCTTCCCCTCCTCCTCCTGCCATTATTTTAAATGGATTCAACTTTGCCATTTTTCAGCCAAACGACCTCAAATTTCGCATGGAGGTAAAGTGGGCAAATACCATCAGGCTTTTTATTTTAATTATTTGGATATATGCTGTTGAAATTGTTTTATTTGTTTTTTTTTGCCATTTTCCGACAAAATCTGTGCATGTGGGGTCCTGGCCATGGAGACCTGGTATTAAACCCAAATCATCTCAAATTTGTTATGGGTATGCTCCCCCGGGAAATTTTTAAAATTAAACCTTCTGAAATAGCATTTCCTGCATTTTGAGAGGATTTCAAAAAGAAAAAGAGTACTTTTTTTTCAATGACAAAGTGATCAGTTTTTCTAGGATTCAAACCCCGCTGGCGATACAAATCACCTTTGAAGAAAAAAATTGCCTTTAGATTAAATAAAAAAAATGGATCTTTGGGACTTGTGGGGAATTCCGAAAAATAACGTACGGTCCCTAAAATGACTTAAAAGTGTAAGAAGTGGTGTTGTGTACTAATTGACTTAGTATCTCAGTAATCACTTTTAGTAAAAAAAATAATTCAAGCAACTACAACGTTACATGAGTATAGTTATTAATTATAATAATTAATAACTATTATAGTAAAAATGCAAGTCATCATGGCGCTACAACTGAGAAGAGTAATGTTTGTGCAGGGTAAAGTCATCTGGTATAATGTATGTGGCAACGCCGTGACATTATGTCTACCTGCCCCACTCCCACAGAAATGTGTTGATTTCAACATTCCCAGGGATTTGATCAGCTGATGTACATCTCACCAAAGTAGCATGTATAAGTAGTACTTATTTGTCTACAATATATGAGGGAATACTTAGCCAATCCATGCTTGTGATCAGAAAATATACACCTGCAAAGCTGTCTAAAATTTGGGTAGCCATTTTGTTCAAGCTAGGCCACTTTCAATGAATCAACAAATATTGTAGACTATAACTAATATTTCAAAAATTACTATGACCCAATAATACTTATATGTCCCTGTCACACAGGGGGATATGAAGTTCATGCATACTTTGAATAAAGAAATATTGACTTTAAAAGTTGACCAAAATAATGGCAGTCATATCGGTCACACCCAGCAACTTTCCAAAATTAACCGAAAATACAAAAGATGTCTGATTTTTTAAAAAGTACTATGACTCAATAGTACTTATATGTCCCTGACCCCTGATGGAATGTCAAGTCAATTTGTGCTTTTAATGAAGAAATATGGACTTCTGAAGTTGACCAAAATAATGGCAGCCATATTAGTCACACCCGGCAACTTTCCAAAATTGGCAGGAAATAGAAAAACACATCTGATTTCTTAAAAAGTACTATAAATCAAATGTACTTATATGCCCCCATCATAAAAGGGAATGTTAAGTTCAGGCATACTTTTAATGAAGAAATATAGACTTTGAAAGTTGACCAAAATAATGGCAGCCATATTGGTCACACCCAGCAACTTTCAAAAATTGGCCGGAAATCCCAAACATATCTGATCTTTGAAAAAGTACTATGAGCCAAGTACTTATATGTCTCTAATCGATGAGTCAATGTCAAAACAATGCATGCTTTCGAGGAAGAATAATATAGACTTTAAAAGTTGACCAAAATAATGGCGGCCATATTGTTCACACCCAGTTCCATTCAAAGACTGGCCGGAATTAGAAAATCACTTTTGATTTTTCTAAAAGTACTATGAATAAATAGTACTTAAATGTCCCTGTAATACAGGGGGATATCAGGGTGCATGCATATTTTTGTTGACGAAATATAGACTTATAGACCTCCAAAATCTTAATGGTATACAACAAAAGGTTATCAAAAATTGTTAAATTTTAGGAAAGTCACCATGTTTGGTGGTTCTATGGCAAGCCGTTCAGACGCTATCTGACATCAGAGTTGGCGCGGGCACTTTTAACCCCCCAGTCTAGATAGGGGTAAAGATTGTTTACAGAATTTTAGGTGGACGGCTTCAATTGGGGAGGATTTAGGCTTTTTGAAAGATCCCCATATTTAGGACCCATACAGTACATACGTATCAAATAGTTTGTTCCTTACAGAAATTGATTGCGAACACTAGGTGAAAGTTGTCTGGTGTTTGGCGAAATCGGCTACTATTCGGCTGCACCAGCCTAATATTAATGCTTCAAAATGTTTAAAACATTCGAGTGTTGGTCGGGAGGTTCAAACATATTTGGCAGGAATTCGTCTGTAAGTCTAGCTGCAGGCAAAAGAAACAACCATTCGGATCAAGTCAGCAGTGTTTCGGGCGTATTCGGTGGTCGAATGTGACTCAAATTGATCTCAAATTTGTTTCTATTCGTATAGAAATGTAGTCGCGAAAAGCAAATTCGCCCTACTGGCCAGGCTGCTTCCGAGCGTCAGGTTACCCTGGCCGGCTAGTGTTAGGTATAAATTAGGTTAAGGTCGTGAATGTGTGACGGGGGCTTAAAACATAGACCATAAACATAAGGAAAGTATTCGCGCAGACGAGGAAGGTATTCGGGCAGACGAGGCAGTTTTTTTCTGTGCAGACGAGGAAGATATTCGCGCAGACGTGGAAGGTATTCGCGCAGACGTGGAAGGCATTCGGGTAGACGAGGAATTTTTTTTCTGTTGCAGACGAGGAAGGTATTCCCGCAGATAAGGAAGGTATTCACGCAGACGAGGAAGGTATTCGGGCAGACGAGGAAGTTT